TGAAATTTCGTGTATCCACATATCAGTAAATGAAACATATGAGTATCACATACTAGACTTAACGTGAACACAAATTTAATTCGAAGAGGGATGAAATTTCGTGCGTCCACATTAAGTCAGTAATTGTAAATGAAGCGTCACATACTACGAGAATCACATACTAGACTTAATATGGACACAAATTTAATTCGAAGAGGGATGAAATTTCATGTGTCCACATATCAGTAAAGCACACAAGTACCACATACTAGATAAAATATTTTCCCCAGGAACTAGGACCACCTACGAGTCCAAAGAATCGAATAAATATCGAGATCTCGTTGCCTGATTCACGTAGGCAGAGACCTTGTCATCCCCGCGGTATAGTTATTAGCCACGAACATGTGTGTTTCATGTGTAGAGATCTTGGATATTTTCAGCAGACGGTAGCTTAAAATACGTCCTCCGTACGACGCCGTGATTTTGAAGAAAAGAAATTCCTGCAAGCACCTCGCGGTACTTATGAACCCTCCGTACGAATCTACGTCTTCGATGACCATTTCTCAACAGCTCTACTTTCGTTATCGTTGCAGGTTATCGTCTTTCAATTGGTTTATTATCAAACTTTTTTGGGATCACCTGATAAAGAAAATATTAAATTAGGCAACAAATTCATTCCATCTTCGATAACGTTAATTGATACCACTCATATTGAGTGATTAGTTCTCTGTTTTTTTTTACTAGAATTTTATCGACGATGTTGGAAACGTACATAATATTGGAAACATACATTCGAATTATTTTTGTGGACTTCGATTTTAAGTGAAGTCGAATAGGTTTATATCAAATTTTCTTTGTGGACTTCGATTTTAACTAAAGTCGATTTATAGCTTATATACTGATTGTAAATTATTATTAATACTACAGATTATAATTAATACGAATTATAATTTATAATTAACGCAACGTTTAAAGGCTATTTACAGGACTGCTGATTCACCGTGCTCGTTTTTAAAGAATGTTTGATTTGAATGACGTTCGTCACGCATTGACGCCGCGCGTTATATGGCCACACGCTGTAATCCAACAAAGAGCGCTCGCGCAAAGTTCGAAGAGCATGATCAGCCTTTGGATCGTCCTTGCACCTGTTTAATCGAATATATATAACGTGGAAAAGAGAGATGGTAAATAGCCATCGTGTTCCAATTTCCATTTGCAATATACTGCCGCGGAAACGGCAACACCGGGTCACACCTGGCTTCCCCTTCGCGTCTATTTATGCCACAAGAATAATGCCAGTAATCTGCATTTCGGTTGACCGACTTCCATTCGACTAAATTCGCCGTCAAGTTCTCGGTGAGGCAAACAAACGACAACTAGCACACTCGTAGAACCACTTGTCGTTCGTGGCGGAATCAGCTGCATAATTACCTCCGAAACAATAGGTCGTTACTATTACAAAATCACTTCAGGTACGTACAGAATATAAATTATAAAATCTAACAAAAATCTGTAATGTTACAATTAAGGCAAAACTTTTGAAATGCGAAAAAGATCAGCCTCTGCATTCTTGCAATTAATTTAATTATAAATTCAAATTTCCTTATGAATATTACTATACCTTTCCTTGTAATATTACTATAGAGGGAAACATAAAATTGTTGCAGATATTCTGAAGCCAGAGCTAGATTGTATTAGAGCTATTTTTTAAGTGATGCGCATAATGAAAGGAAATAATATTTTTAATATAATAGGGTAAAAAGATAGCTCACCCTCTTGTTTCTTGTAAGTAATTTATTCAAATAATTATTCATAAAAATGTGGATATAAAATGAAATACAAAGAACTATCTGACCTCCAAATTTTTTAAAGCGAGGTACAAGATAAAATATAACAATAGTTTTGATATAACAGTATAAAAGCAGGTCTTGCGTTAAGGTCCGTCTCTCTAAAATTAGAAAAATGTGCCTCTGGCTCTAGAGTCCAGACGGCGAGCACACATCTTGAAAAATGTATGTCGTACATTTTGTAACCGAATGAAAAGTTCCTGCGCGGTTAAACGCAAGCTGACCAGAAACCCTGCAAGTCCGCGAAGAAACGTAATCGACGCCATGGCGATCGTAGATTTCTTCGTCTCTTTTACGGTCGAGCCACGTCGGCCGGTTCTCTAAATCAAACCTCGGCTCCCTCTAATCGGGATGAAAGCCTCGCGCAAAAATGTCAGTCAACATTCGCGTTTATTTTTACTCGCGGAAACCGTGCGGTGCCCTGCCCGCCGAGACATTCGGCACGAAACAGAGGATCAACGGTGAGGATTCTGCTAGCAGGCGTGTACTGTCTCTCGAGCTGAATGTGTCTGGTCGTCGAGTGTGGTGCTCGTAAAATCGAGCCCGCCGGTTTTTCCGACTTCGGCTCGAGACTCGGTGTCGACGAACTATTGATTCGTTGCTGTTACCCGAGCCCTAGACGCCAGTGCCGTACGATTTTCGCAGGACGAATTATCGTCCCGAACCACCCTCGTGTTTCACCGTGTTCCGCCCTCTCTGCTGACGCGAGCTTTTCGTTATTGACTTTGTAAATTTGTACGACGACCACGGCATATGCTAGTCAAAACAGTTGGGTTCAAGTTTCAACTTATCGGGGACAGATTTCTGTGCCAAAACAAAGTTTCGAGTAATTTCATAGGGTCTGGGATAATTTTGGGAAATATATGGATGATGGAAAAATTGGAATAGGATTTTAAGTTGTTCAGATGACGCACCGTATGCGTCTTGTTCTAGTTGAGAAAATCTATCGACGCACCTTGTGCGTCATGTAATAGTCATTTGAAAAATCTATTGACACACCCTGTGCGTCATGTATTAATTACTTAAGAAAAGCTGTTAACGCACCTTGTGCGTCATGTACTAATTATCTGAAAAACCCTGTTGACACACCCTGTGCGTCATGTACTAATTACTTGAGAAATCCTGTTGATGCACCTTGTGCGTCATGTGCTAGTTAGCTGAAAAACCCTATTGACGCACCTCGTGCGTCAACAGAAAACCCCATTTGACGCACCCTCTGCGTCATGTACTAGTTATCTGAAAAACCCTATTGACATACCCTATGCGTCACGTACTAGTTATCTGAAAATCCCTATTGACACACCCTATGCGTCATGTACTAGTTATCTGAAAACCCCTGTTGACGCACCTTGTGCGTCTGCTACTAATTGTCAGAAAACTAATTGACGCACCATGTGCGTCTGATAGTAGTTACCCCCGAAAACTCAATTGACACACCATGTGTGTCTTTTGTGAAATATCCTGGAGAATGTATTGACGCACCATGTGTGTCATGTATAAAATATCCTGAAAAATCAATTGACGCACAAAATGCGTATTGTGCTATTTTGAGAAATCTATTGACACCATGTGCGTTAAGGATTAATTATCCCGAGAAATTCATTGACGCACCATGTGTGTCTTATAACATCCCAAGGAAAAGTACGTCTCAAACTATGTACTAATTAATTAATACTAAAATTATGCTATTTTACTATCTATAACAGTATATTTATTAAGATAAATATTATTTTATTTTATTGTTGATCTTGCTTTTGAAAATACAATGATATACGTAAGACCATTATTTTCACGTGGACACAAACTTGGCTCCTTTTACGAGATAGACCGATGCCGGGCGCCAAGACGCTTGGATCAATAAGGCAGCAACCTTGCTATCACTAGGATGGTGCGACAAAACTTTCGGTTTTAACAGTAACGCAGAAACACCCATAACACCTATTTACTTTCAACGGTGTTCCTTTAAATACACGACTATTCGAATTAATCGCTTGAAAGATAACTTTATAATCAAATTTCACGTTCTACTATTCATATTCTTATCTCATTTAACTCCTGATTTAACTTGTATTTAATGGAAACTTGTATTTAAACTTGTATTCTGTTAACACGTTAAAGTATTCGCATAACAGATGTTTGGTAAATCGAACGATAGATAATCGAGATTCCTCTACTGACGCGTGTCAACAGGACGATTTATCCGGTTTGTAATGTCTGGTAGTAATATCAGAGCAAAAAAGGGGATATGTATTTAACAACAAATAAAAACTCGTGAAAAATTTGACCTCCTTGCAAGTGTATTAAATACAATGACAAATTAATTAGTATCTTTAAATGATACTTTTTGCAATATCGTTTGTTAATTATAATCAACTCTGTTAAACAAGCCACCCACCTTGGTTATTGATCGCCAGTTCAATGACCTCGTTCACGTTAGGTTACACTTAAAATAACGAATATAAGCAAATAAGTTATTTGAAAGATCGAACATGTCGGTTAAAATTGATAACATTATCCTGCACGATATTAAACGAGTTCCATTAATCTTGAATAATTTATCTTGTTTGTGAAAAATGGGAAGCCTTAGCTAAACGCTGTACTACTTAAAGATTTACGACAGACAAGTTACTAGTTGCTAGACGTTTAGGGGATGATCAGTTTAGGTGCTGCATTAATTACGCTCGATAGTTGCATTGATTAACATTTGCACACGGTCCATCCAACATCTATCACAACCGTTTACCGACGCCGTTTACAAACTATACGAAACTTCAATCACTCTTCAGCGATATTTATTATCGTTCGATGACTTGTCAACTGATTCTGTTTTTCGTACTGCAGGCATTAAATTATTTTTTGTTCAGTACGATCATTAAACGCAATATATCTCCGCATCGTTCTATTTTTAATTTTAAATGTACTGGACATGCCAGTGCCTTGTAACATTGATAAATACTGTAATATTTGAAACATGCATAACATCGCGAGCGATATAATTAAAGTTTAATATATAAATATTAGATAAGCCGGTCTTCGCTCCACCTACATTTACATATAGGATACATTTTACGCAGTTTATATGCGTGGTAGCTGAACAGGAAGAATTGATTTCTGTAAAGATAGACGAAAACGGTGGAGGAACGATAAAAATAAAATAGTTGAAGTCTAACTGACCTGCAGGTGAATGGGCACTTTTTTTACCGGTGTACTCATCCTGGACCAAATAAAAGATTACGTTATCCAGAAAGCAAAGTACACGATGTTGTCGATCACACGATCCGTTCTACACCAAGGACACGCGAACACACTATTTTTCTGTTCGCGAAAAGATCTTCACTTGCACGAAATTTTCGTGAAGCTACAATCGAAAAGAACAAGATCGAATCGAATCGAGCAATCGACTGCAACTGACGCTGTGAGTGCGCGTTGCGCGGCGGTGGTAAATTTTTATCCCTACCTCCTTGATTTTGGATGATGGTAGGGGTTATCCCCACTAAACATGGTTCATCACATGTTTGAAAAGCAGGGCTGAATTAACCATTAAGAAAAATAAGCACGTGCTTTAGGGCATAAAGGGAAGGGATACCGCAAAAATTTTACATTACCAATTATACTTTTTAAAACTCTATTCATAAAATTTCAAGGTCAAATGCTCTACAAAACCATAATTCCAAAGCTCCATGATGCTATAATTTTAAAATCTAAAAGTTCTATTGAGAAAAATAAAGTTCTATTTTATACATATGGAGACACCAAAACCTCTTAAGTGTTAGAACCTCCAAATATTTTAATCCGTTCTTATTGAAACGGTATGTATATAAATATATAAATATATATCTTAATTTAAATATGTATCAATTTTTGTACATTTCTTTTTAAATATGCATTAGATTTCAATTGGTCAGAAACATATGATGTGCTTTTGAAAAATGCACGTTTTATAAATAATTGAGTTTAATATTATTCTGTTTAATAGATAATTATTAATTATGACATTGTATATGATATATTTTAAATAATATTAAATTAAGTTTATGTCATAATTAGGAAAAAAATATTAGGCCTGGAGCAGTTCCCGCCTAAAAGGTGTACAAGTGTTTTCATTTAATCATGGCTATTCGTTTGCATGTAAAACATGATTTATCCGAAGTAAAAGAGAATGTGTTACACTTGATGCCGTGTAAAATTCATGGAAATGAATCTGCGAAGGTTTCTTCTTACTTTACACCTTATATTCGTAACATAGACGATGAGCGTAAGTTAATTTTAAAATTCTGTTTATCATTAATAATCTTGCTTATCGATAATGACTTTGTATCTTAAATCAAAGAACACCAACATATGTTAATTGAAAATTACTTATTTTGTAAATTATGTTCATTTCGTGACAACAGTACATATTATTACGCTAACCGTATTTAAGGTTAAAAGAAGTATTTTTGTGTACAGATTATAATTCGTCGTTTCGTGGATATCCACTTCAGGGGAAAAAAATAATGATACCTTCTGGATACAAAGGTCTTACGTTTCTTGAACACAAAAAACCAGAAATAGGAAACGTGGAACGTAATTTATATTCTACAGGAACTTTTTCATATTTCACCTATTGGAATTATGATAAGCTACCATCAAAGGATGATGCTTTAGCATCAGCAATGGATTGGATTGATATTGCTGAAGCAGTAAGTTATTAAATAATAAATAAAATAAAATATAATCAGAATTCATTTATAAAACATTTCTTTTTTTTCAGCTACATTCAACAAAATCATAATTACAAAGAAAAATGTTAACACAAAAATATAAAATACTATTACATGATTAACCAAATAATGATATTTCTATTCTAATATAAAGATAAAAATAAATATTTTGTACATTTTATATATGTTATAGTTTATTAACCATATTTCATATCATAGGCATATAGTTTTGTTATACATAACATATTTGTAATCCCTTATGAAGTATGTAAACATCAAAAATGATTTTTTTGGTTTAACTAGGAAAGCTGTTTCAAAAATGTGCAGTCTTTTATAGGATAGGTAGTATTATTTATAATTCATTTTCTTACTTTTATAAATGTATAAAAGTTGTAATGAAGATGAAAGCATTTACTACCCTTTTAGCACAGAAGAATTCTTGTTACGCATAATACTACTGAGTATATTATATATTAGTTTTAATACTGTTTTAATGACATCAGAGAAATCGAATATTAGATTATAAAGTAATAATGAATGAAATGTGGTCCTTAGTAAAAGCTGTGTTCTGTGTGACATTAATATGCAGTTGTTGCTTTATAGTCATATTTGTATAAAATTCATATAAAATGCTTTCTTGAAACTATGTAACCTATATTGGCAGTTTTACAATATTTACTTGCAAAAAATTGCATACATGCATAGTTCTTGCTAAAACTTTTTATACATGCATATTCGTTTATAGATAGAAAAGTTGAAGAAATTCTATTTTCATATACAATGGCAGTGTTGAAGACAAAAAGGATTCGTCTAAAATAGGAAACAATTATTGTATTGTACTTAAAAATTCAAAATATAAAAAAATGGCTATTATCAATATAATAGTTGAACATGTATATATATATGTATTCCAAAAATGATGTTAAATATAATTTATGTATAGAATAAGTTTTATAAATATACTTTTATAATTATTAAATAATAAACCAAAGTTATTATATAAAAATAAAATCTATAAAAACAAATTTTTAACATAAATTAAAGTATTTTTTCGTTACTTTGGTACACATGTAATAAACAGTCTACTATAAAATATTTTCTTATTTTTAAACATCTCTTGATTTGTCTAAAAAACCTATTTACAATTGCATTACATTTCTAATACTCAGGTAATCTAAAAATAGGTCCATCATATATCACTTCACTTCGTTTTATCAAAAGCACCCTATTTAAATTCAAGAAGTGAATTTATGATATTCCATGTTGTTATTAAAAACGAAAGAAACAAAATTATTTCTTCTAACGTTTTATGCAAAATCATCTCTTAAAAAATGATGTTATACTTTCTACTGCTACTTTTATATGAATCTTAACTGTTAGTGGTACCTTAAACTACAAATACATAGTTAATACTTTGCAATTTTTTTACTATTGCACAGTGTTCATTTTGTACCCTGATTTTTTCTTAAGTATGTTTTTTCTTTCTTCCTTGTTTTCTGAAATTGTTTCATCAGTTAAAATTAAAGGAATCGAGTAAAAATTATTTGACTCTTTTAACTGAATTCTAATTTGCTAAATTATTTTCAATATCATTCAGTTAATTAATGGAACGGAGAGTTGAACAGTCTTGTTATCACATAGCAAGTAAAAATACTGAAATAAAAATAATTTGTATATGTAGTTTACATATAAGTATATGCATTGCTAAATTTGTGCACTTTTAAAATTATGAAAAAAATATGATTTCAGTATTCAGAATATAAATTATGAAAATGTGCCCAACTCATTTGCCTGGTCTTGATGGTATTTGTTCTGATCTTGTTGCTGTTTTATAAATGCACTCAATCTATTCAGCAAAAATTGTTTATCATGTCCTTCTAGTACTAACTGATTCTTTAAAACTGTGACCATATGCTTATTTGCTACTGCTACTGCATAAAAATAATATAAAAGTAGTGTGAGAACAAGAAAAGCTGGTACACCAAACCCAGCAGTGCCAAGAAAATATAAAATTGATTGAAGCCAATTAGGAAAACGAGCAAATACTAAAATTAATAATGTCCATACAGATTTACGGCCTCTAAATGGCCCACAAGATTTTGATGGTACTAGCTCTGCAATGGAATAACCAACTGGAATTGTAGTTAGAATAAAAGAAATTAATAAAATTAGCATGAAAAGCGAATTTGAGTTACTTGCTCTATAAATTTTACTGGATGGAGTGCTGTTCACTAAGCAAGAAAACTTTTTGATATAAAACAAGAAAAAAGTTCCAATCACTGCCACCAATGGTAACAAAGGTGCAAAAAAGCAACCAAGCCAGCAAATAGTTTGCAAATAAACAACATCTAACACATGCTTAGGTAAATCAAATTCTTGTTCGCCAAAAAACCGTAATACCTTATTTTCTGTGTGTTTTGCTATTAATGATCTTGGTAAATTTACGAAAAATGTCATAAAAAACTGAATAAAAATATCAGTGATATAAAGTTTGAAAAATTGTTGCCCTACAAATGTTTCCCAACATAATCGTAATTTATTATCATTGGCAGTGCATTGATTATCTCCTACTTCGCCTGCAATTAATCTATGAAATGATGTAAGTAAAACGACGAAAGAAGAAAGTCGTAGAAATACTGTTCGCAAAAGAGTTATCTGTATAACAAATGACGGGCTATAATTTTCTAAAGTGACCAAATATCGAAATAAAAATGGTACCGCAAGATTCAAAATAACGATACATATATACGGTAGAAACTCAAAAAATAATTGAATAATTCTATTTAGAGACATATAGCTCTCATAGCTTTCATCCATATCCGATGAAGCCTGATCAAAAGAAAACTCAAATATGTAGTAAATAAATATCCCACAGCCACTTAATACCATTAAAATAATTAAATTAATAAATAAACGCGTAAGAAACAATTTTGTTTTCTCCTCTCTTGTCCGATTTTGCCTTTCTTCTTCTAATCTTTCAGATTCTAAAAATGCTTTCACTTCATTGAATAATGCTTTGTGCTTAACGGCAGCAGATTTTTCATTGTGTATACAATAATCCCATCCACCAAAAACTAAATTACAATACTGATAAAATTGACCCTCATTTTCAACTACTCTTTGTTTGAAACTTTTAGCAGCAGACTTAACGATTGCTATTAAACTAACAATAAATACCCCAATAGTAGCACAAATATAAGATAATGGTAAGTCGTAAGAAAAGCCGGAGTTTTCGTAAGTCATATGACTATATGAACCGTAAAACATTAATGTGTACTCTAAAATACCAATACCGTGCAAAATATCTGTTACACCGATACTTCCTTGAGTTATATTTAAATATAGTTCTGAACAGCAAGCTATACTATAATTGGTATTAGAATTTATACACGATTCTTGTTCTGGCATTTCAAGTAATATTGCAGGTAACACAATAAACAAGAACATAATTGCAAATAAAAGAATATTAAGATACATCAACCATTTGATGAATAAAAAGTATGCTACTATTCCCATTCCAAAATTTCCTCCAATCGTTTTAAGACTATCATTCCATAACTCCATTTTCGAATAGGCCTCTTTCATTCTTATACGAAATTGTTGCCAAGCTTTCCTTCGTTGCCATTTTAATTGTTCAAAGCCTTGCAACCTTAATTTTGTTGCACTCTGAAAAATAATATATGCATACACGTATGTTTAGATTTATTCAATTTAAAATCACTATAATGTGGTGCATAGAATTAACTAACATACTTGCAACTGATTTTTTAATTGTATCTTTTGTGCCATGCATACAGGCATAGCCTTAATTTGCATTATCTCTTCCCATGTACGTTCCTCATTAGACAAATTTTCAGACAAGTCTGGCAACATGGACACTGCTGCATCGTGAACATTTGTTGACATACGTCTTGATGTAGTTGTGCCACGAGATCTTGTACTAGTACGTCTCCTTAATGTTGTTTTCGTATCATTACGTATTCGTTTAGCTGTTGCTGTTAATAGATAATTAAAGATATAGTAATTTTATGTATTTGTAACATCATTATATTTACACTTACCAACACGAGACTTTTTACTTGGAAGTAAAGTAGCTATATGAGAAGGATCTCTTTGTAATGCTTGTTGTAAATCTGCTTCAATTGCCGCAGGATAACTTTCCTGATAAAATTCAGCACCTGCCTCTTCCCAACCTTGTGCTCTATCGCAAGCACGTTTCTTTCGTTCCCCGCCTGACATCTTTTTTTTTATTAGTAATTTTAGTTGATGTAGCTTCTTTCATAAACCTTGTTCATGAAATTTGGGTAAACATTATTCACACATAAATAATGAATTTTATGTTTATGCAATTTGTAATAGATACTTAATAGTTATTAGACTTTTCTTATTGGTTTATTATTATTCAATGTTTAATAAATGTATAAATTGCACACGTTTTTAACTAAACTTTAAGTACAACAAGTTATACTTGGAAACAATATTATTCAGAAATTGACGTATCGATGTTATTACGCACATACCTGAGATGAATTAATCGATCAAGTATTTTGTAATTGTGACACTGCTTGATAGCACATCTTTCTTTTATGTTGGTCGATAACAGTACTCATAAAAAAATGACACTTCGGTAGACAAAACACTGAACCTTAGAAGTCAGATGGCACATTGATTGTAGCGTTTTATAAAGTATGACGTAGATCGCGCTAAATATATAAGCGTTATATCAAATCACATTAATATCAAATTTAATGTTCCCACATAACAGAATTTCTGATGTTTTCGAACAAATAGGGTGAAATAAGTACAACAATACATCCAGAATACACTTATCGGCATTTTGTTCTTCCGTATATCTAATTCGTGCAATCTGCAGATGGCTGATAAAAGAACACCAAAGCATGAACTAAGTGGAATATAGAGGATATCGTTAAAATTATCAGACAAAAGATTTGACGAATTATTCATACATTTGTTACTACCGGGTTATCAGGTGTAATTGAATGAACATGACAGTAATAAATAAGAAATAATTTTTTATATTATTCATATTTGTATATCATGCACAATCAAATATAGATGAATGATATGCAATTGCAATATGTATTTAATAAATATTTTATACAAATCAATAATATTAACCAATTTTGTATCTCTTCACATGGTTACATTACATATTAATAATTCCAACAAAATCACATTTTTCTTATTGTACAAAAATGCATATTTACAAAATTCGAGTATAAATACATAGCCAAAATTAACATTGAACAAGTAAAACATTATTAAGTGGCATATAGTGATTATTACAGTCTCATTAATAATATAGATTCAGGTTTCGAAAGTAATATCAAAGTTCTTAATTTAACTTCATAAAACATTTGGAAACATAATGTATTAATATTAAATATCTATTTGTTATGTAGAAAGTCACTGACATTAATTATAATTAAAGCAAATTTTTTTTAGTGTAACTATCGATGCAATATAAGGGCGGTATTTTACATATGGCAATTTAATATTGTCGTCCACCTCGATTTCCACCGCGGTTATATTCATTACGATGATAATTGTCTGAACCTTGATTCCATCCTCCTTGAACTCTACCTCCTCTTCCTTTACCACCTCCTCTTTGATACTGTTGTCCACCTGTAATTTCAAATTCATTATTTGAATAGTTAAATCATTGACCATACCCTAAAAAATTGTTAGGATTGACAATAGTTGATGACTTCCTATTAAAATTATACAATCCCAAAATTCTCCTTTTTTTTATCTTTACCTCCACTATCCCTGTTCTCTGTACTGTAATTATTTCCCCTGTTTCCATAGCCTCCACCTTGACCGCCATATCCACCTCCTTGTCCTCCTCCATATCCACCTCCTTGTCCTCCATATCCACCACCTTGTCCTCCTCCATATCCACCTCCTTGTCCTCCACCGTACCCACCTCCTTGCCCTCCTCCATATCCACCTCCTTGTCCTCCATAACCCCCACCTTGTCCACCATATCCACCTCCTTGTCCTCCACCATATCCACCTCCTTGTCCTCCTCCATATCCACCACCTTGTCCTCCTCCATATCCACCACCCTGTCCTCCATATCCACCACCTTGTCCTCCATATCCACCACTTTGCCCTCCTCCATATCCTCCACCCTGTCCTCCTCCATATCCCCCACCTTGTCCTCCATATCCTCCACTTTTAGAGTAGTTTGAACTCTGAAATCCACTGTCTCCATGACTCCCAACATTTCCATACAAACCACCTCCACTTCGACCTCCTCGATTGTCATGAGAGAAACTGGTATTAGAATTCTGATAACTACCACCTCCACCTCCACCTCCACCTCCACCTCCTCCGCCTCCTCCTCCTCCTCCACGACCACCTCTGAAATTACCACCTCCTCGACCACTAAAATAACATTGCAAAAATATATATTACTTTAAATTATTTTACTTAAAACTATGTTCAATAATTTTAACTAACCCAGAAGTTGAAGGTCCTTGTACTCTATCTTTTTGCCATGGTGGCATTTCAGGTGGTGGTGGTTCTTGTTCATATGGTCTACCACCTCTATCTGGTACAGATCCTATAATAACTTTATTAATTTCACTACGAGTATTTTTTCTAACAGTTGCGCTGCTTGTTTTTTCCATTAATGCAATATCTTCTCTTGCTGCCAGTAAATCAGCAAATGTAATATCAGGTTCTGTACTTAAAAATTTCCTAGTTTCTTCATATCTTTTATTTAATTCAGCTTCTTGGGCTTTCACTCTCTCTGACCACTATTCATTTTAACAAAAATTATATTAGTTACTACTTTAAGTAATTATATATATTTTTGTCAATTTTATTGAAAAGAATGATTTTATTTACCAAAAATGATTGCATAGTAACATCAAGTCTTTTCAGTAACATATCACGACGTATTCTATATTCATCATGCAGTTCTTGTTGAATATGTTCTAGATTTTTCCAATCTGCTTCTGTAAAGTCTTTAACAAGCAGTGGTTGACCTATCAACTCCGAAGGAACTGTTTTTAATACATCAGTCAATTTGTTTTCCAATCTTGTAAAAAGTTTTTGAGCGGTAATATCATCAGGTGGTTTCTCAAAGTTTAGTGCTATTAACATGTCTTTTAAATCTTTAGCAGTATCACTTTCATCCTACAAAAAGTTCATACAATGCCATTAAAAAATTTGTGGTACTGAATTATCGTCTTTATCCTACCTTTACAATGAAAACTTACAACATCAATAGCCATTGAACTGGGATCTTTATGCTTTCTGGATTCTAATAATCTGCAGGTTTTTAATTCTGCTCCTAAAAAGTCTAACAAGATACATCTATCTTGTTCAGTTACCAATCGCTCATTGACATTACCAGTCATTAATCTCTCATTTACACATCCTAATTCTTTAAGAAAACAGCTTAATTCTAACAGAAATGAACTAGAATCATCCGGTGATACAATTGCATGGATAGTTTCATCCATATCATTGAGTACAGCAATTTCATCGGTTAACCATGCTACAAGCTTTGTATATTCTGGTGATTTAGGACCTTGTTTCAAGGCCTCTTTAAACTTTTTAGAATCTGTCAATTCTCCATTATATCTGTATAATACCAAATTTTATTAATTATAAAATTAGTTGAATTGATACAAGAAATATTGCGACAAAAATTACAAGATTCATGATTCTATAATTTGCTACTATAATTAAATAAACTCAAAAAATACTACATTGCTTTTTAATATAAATCATATTTTAATGTTCAACTTTATAACCTTCAACTACTTACCCAAGTTTTTGAATTCTTTCCATTAATTTGAGTTCCATCTTTGCAAAATTTCTGATTAAATGAAAAATACAGTTAATATAGATCATAAAATATAATAGTAAAGCATAAACGACATGTACTTACAATAAAAATTGAGATGGACTATAATTAATACACGTCTTTACCGTATACGCTGTCAATGTGCCATAATGGTCATAGGCCATAAGATTTTTCATGATCATACGGAAGTTTAGTGCATTTTATGAACAGTAGATGTCGTTGTATATGGAAGATAAATTGAATTCAAACCCTTCGAATGAATGCATTTACAAGCACGACTTTTTAATAAAAGAAACTTGCAAAAACCAATGTGGATATATATAAAACGTAACTGTATATTATATTGTTTCTAATAATTAATGGTAGCTATGTAAGATTTACAATTCTTACCAAAATGTTTACAGCAAGGAAAATAAATAAAATGACACAATGATTATAAAAGTAAAAATATGTAGATTTTTAGTGCATTACATATACATATCATACTTACAAAGTTAATCTTAACTTATGAATAATACAATTGATATGTACAAATATTTTAATTTGTTAACAATATCAAAATAATGATGGCAAATATTGTTCTTAACATTAATTTAGAAGCAATCATTGCCATTCAAAATCTAATAATTTATTAATACTGGCATAACTTCAAATGTCAGCAACTTATAATTGCCAGTAGCTTTACATTTACATACTTCCAATATTTTACAATATTGTAATTTATACAATGTTAATAAATCATGACAATATGACAGAATATTTGATTTTGATATTACTGATTTGTACAATTGTATTTAGTTAAATGGACAGAACAGAAAAGAAAGAACTTAAAATTATCTTACAATTGTCAGTTAAAGAACAGACAAACGAATTTATTTGTTTTTTTTTCGAATTAACAGATACAATTAAATGTTTCGTCAATGCCTCTGATATAAAATTTTTAAAAGCCAATATAATTTAATATATTTACATGTCTAACTCTAATATTCGGTACTTTTACAATATTAAAATTAGAAATTTTAATACATGTTCTTTCAATTAGCTGTATAAAAACTTTCAGAAAGTGACCAAATATATTCTTATAAATTTGAGTACAAATTTAATGTAATATACAAGAGCATTCAATACATAAAATGGTGCACATCGGAATCCAGCTTATACAATTCTATTTGACTGGCAAATTGTACAATTAGTTTTATGTATACATATAAATACTATTCTAATAGTATACATTTAAAATTTATTTCCAATGGTGCTTTGGCAAACACGTTCTCATAGCACCATAGAAGTGCAATTTCATTGTGAAGCATATAATTTTAGCTAATCTTTGTACTACTTAAACCCATTTATACTTCAACTATGAAATGCAATACATAGTTCTTGAATAAAAAATTCAACAATACTTCTGAATGAATAAAATTTTGCTAAATATAATAAATAAAATCCTTTCTTCTGAATCCTCTAATATTAATTTAGGTATTCAGCGCTACACACGACATTAATATAATTCAGTCGTTTATGAATAAACGAAGTTAACAAGGCTATACAAGTATTATTTTCTGGCTGATAAAATAAGCCAGACGACAAATTCTTTATTCTTACAGTTTGTACATTAATCTAATAAATTGAATTTCGAATCTCATCATACAACCAAATAATTAGTTTTCTATATTACCTTCATAGAAGGACTCACATTTTTCTAACAAACGTAGAACTGGATTTATGTTATAAGGAAACAAAGCTTTAGATACTAATCTGTCAATTGCTAAACGAAGTCTTATTAATATTGTCATGGTATCATCTAATTCTCTTCCACAACAGGAGACAAACTCTGTCCAATTTCTTTTAACATATTTCAAGAATCTCAATAAGTATAATAAGAAACATGTTTCATTACTAACAAGTAAATCTAACAGAACATCTGGGTCATGTGATACCGCGTGTATAAATTGTACAAAAGTTAAAGTTGGACTAAGCATATGACCAAGATCATTTTGTGGAGGTCCTCTATAAAACAAACCAACTGCTACATCCAAGCAGCATACCATGCCTTCGATCAGAAAATCATCCTGATCATGAAACATTTGCACAACCCATTGTGACAAAGGCATTTCAGGATGAAATGGCATTAATGTTTTAACACACTGATCAAGTTGTCTTAAAACTTCTCTTATACTTCTCTCAATGACTGCCATATCAGCATCAAGATCTTCTGCTTCTGAACCCAAGGAAGAGTCACTAGAATCGCTACGTGTCTCTTTAACTGTCACAGCAACACTTTTTAAAACTAAAAGCACAATCTTTTGTAAAAGAGGCCGATCTCCTTCACCAGAACCACCTCCAAATCTTCCAGAACCATGCCGATATGGTAAGGCATCTAATAATCTCCAATCTTTTACAGCACGCACAATCAAATGTGCAAGAGAACAAGGCTCATCTGGAAGTACATCTTGCAATGCTAAAGTGCTTCCATAACACAATACTTCATTAAATAATCCCAGAAGATGTCTCCAAATTACACCAGGAACACTAGCATTTAAAAGTACAACCAAATTATCTAATTGAGAATAGAAAAGTTTGGTATCAATAACAGACAAATTAGCTTTTACAGAAATAATTGACTCCCATAAATCAAAAAACGTAATAACAACTGACTCATGTTGAGGTGTATATGAACTAAGAATGGCATCAAATTTTGATACTAATATGGTCCATTTAGATTCTAATGCTTTGACACACATAGCTTTTACAGGTGTACTATCAAAACTTTCTGCATCTGAAACTGATATTGTATTGCAATGTGATGGTGTCACCATAGTTTCTGTATCTTCAAGAGGATGAATACCACAGTCCTTGTGTTCTACGACTCTTTTTACAACATCTAAAGTAAACAACATTTGACTTGGAGAATGGGTATTTACCAAAGATTGAGTTAGTTTTTCTAACCATGCTGCTTCAATATTTTCCTTTGTTACAATAAAAAATGATGCAAGAACTCTACTAGCAGCAAATGATATAAATTTGTTTGTTGTAGAGGATAGGTCAATTATTTGATCTATAATGCCATGCTCGTTTCGCGCCAGCGCATCACAAACATCTACCACTCTTCTGCACATAACACCTCTAGTGTTTTGCTTAATAGCTAAATCGAATAAAAGCTGTAAAGCACTTATAAACTCTAATGTTTGATCAGATTCCCACTCTGATAACAACGAAGATCGAAAAGTACCATCAGCAGCTTCCACTGTTGCACTTGTGAATGGTTTACGTAGACTACTTTCTGGTACATTACATAAACATTGTGCTAACAAACTATTCTGTAACTGCTCAATATCCGATATCGTATCTCTTCCAACTTCATTATTCTCGATACGTTGTTTCTTCTTTGCTGGCTCCTCCATCGTGTTGTTAGGAGGAAAGTAATAACAGTGCCAGAGCACCATTAGCAATACTATTCTTGGTGCTTTCTCTTCATAGTCTATGATGTTCTTTCATCAGGTTATCTTCATAATATATAAAATGTTCCAAAAGACGATATATCGTGTAAATTCAACGTGAAATACAGTCAACATTAGCTTGTTTCATTTATAGAAACCATAGGTATTTCAATCATGACAACGTGCCTGTATTAAAATAATAAAAAGAAATAAATTAGAGGTTTTAGAAGCTGAAACTTTATATCATAGAGTTTATTTTATAAATAATGTTTGTATTATGACAATTGTATACTCTGTTTCATAAGAGAGTACAGTAACTAGATGACGATTTGCGCACCAACCTAGGGAGACTTTTAATTACGAACACGATGCTACTCTATAAACAGTCCATTCTGTCTTCGTGATCATATACACGGTGACGAAAAATAAATGAACTGTGAAAAATGTTGATAATATGATAAGTACACAAAATCAACAAAAATAATACATCCAATTTTTTTAATATATTCATAGAATATATAAATATAGAATGAAAAGTATTTCGTGTAATGATTAAAACATTCCAAATTTAGAAGAATTAGAAATCATGAAACTTTCTATCCATTGTGTATATACTTTCGGCGTTGCGATCGTCAGAGGAGCGCACGCGCATTACCATAGATTATGTAGAGCGCGTAGAACTGAAAGTATGAATATGCGCAAAAAGAATGAATCCTTGTCTTCTAGTTACTGTATCCCTCGTGCAAGATACAGGGTGTTTAAAAAAAGGGTTAAATATTTACAGGGTTTAAAGTACTCATCAATTATAGAAATAAAGTTGCAATGACCATGGATTAGAAAATGAAATGTAATAAACATTTTCCTGCACACTGCAGTGCTCAACTTACTTATTTGCAATCAATCATGATATAGTAATCGATTATGATATGTAAATAACTAAATATCTTACTATTTCTTCTACTGATGTTTATAAAAATCTTTCCATATATTCTTTACCCATTTCCATACAGATTTCACATCTGCGTACAAGAGAATTTCAAATCGGTTAGAAACCCCTGATTTTTTCACGCAAGACTTACAACACCTTCCAGCGGCAAGATCATATTTCAAATGCGCTTCTGTCATTTCTTAATTAAGATAATTTGATGTATTGTGATTTTTTTAAAACCTTTGAAACATTTCTCACTGATAATTATTAACTGATATTTATATGCAACTAACATTTTTCTGCTAAAGTATGATAATTTTTAGTTGTGAAGCATGTAGTGTAATCCCATTCAAACATCAGTAGAAGAAATAATAAAATGTCTGGTTATTTACATGTCATGATAGAATACCAGAAGCAAGTAAATTAAATGCGACAACTTAAATAGAAAATTGTTTGCAACTTTGAGCATACGAATTTTATGACCTATGTTTGTAAGAACTTTTTTCTTCTATTTGATGAGTACTATCTACCCACAAAATATTTAATTTTCCTTTTCAACGTCCAATGTATGAAAAACTTATTTGTTAATCTGAATAGATAAAGATAACTTTTGCATTTAAAAAAATACAATAAACGAAAACTTACAGGTATAATTGATTCTCGTTTTTATCGACTTTTTGAAATATTTGTAAATTCCAACACCTTTGCAAATAAGTGTGTGTACACATATATATGTTTACATATTCACTCGTACAAAGGTGTGCGTGTATATTTATCTTATGCACTGAGATTAATAAATTAATTAACGTGCAACATGTTTTTAACAAATTTTAACTGGTATTTGTTCTCACATACACTCGTTAAAGGCTAATCGTGGAGTTTAATACAAGTTGCACATGTAATACATAAACCGACGCTTGCTGATACGTTAATATACATAGAGAAAGATTCTCTATCAATATCTTGACAGACAGTTAAATATATCGTCGGGATATTTGACAGCACTCTTTCAGAGTTACACCGTATTTCACTATTTTAACACTGTAAATATATTATTGTTTGTGCTTGAAGAATTTCTTTTGACTAGGAAGTGACAGAGCACTCGACAACTTTGCTCTGTTGCCACGTATACATGCTACCGAGTAAAAATACGAAATATGGATTTATATCTTTTAACCGTGAATATATTTCCATTGAACAATTCATATCTTACGTCAAGTGGTAAAATGTTACGTTGATAGTGATTAAGACACGAATTCTTCGTGTTTATTAGATATTTTTCGGGTGGCATCATGCAGAGCTGCGTAACACAGTAGCTCCTCCTCGTACATTCCACAATGTACTGAGTGGGAATTATTATAATTAATAGAATAATTGCATTCAGATTGTGATCAAAGTTTATTAAATATTCTTTAAACATCTTTTCCGTAATTTTCCATAATAAAAGTTATCGAAATCAAAAAGTCGTATAATAAATACACGGGATGATCGGCAACTCTGCATTGATCGCAGCGCCCCAAATTTTATACAGATCCAATACAGATCCTTATTTGTCGTATAATTTGTATTTTAATAGTTATTTTAATACTGTGTATATCGTATGCTCGAAAATAAATAATTTTTAATGAAATTTGATAATACAAAAGAATATTACATCGAATAAATGCGTATAATGTCTTTCATTCCTTATCGATGAAAATATATTCAAACTTATAATATCTAAAATTTATTTTTGATTCTAAAAATTATTCCATAAGTTTATAATTTACAGATATATTATAAAATATAATTTCATCGAAATCTGATTAACATTAAAAATTGCTACTATAATAAAAGCCAAAAATATTTTATTTTCCAAATTTTTATTATAATTTTACAAAAATAAGCAATTAGAAATTTGCGACGGGTATTATGTGTTTCATATTTAAATACTATATTTTTATAACAATATTCTAATGAAGTTTCAGTGAATTTATTTTTAAGAAATTTATATCCAATTGTTTTATTTGTAATATCATCATTCTAATTTAGTGTACCTTTATATAAAAGCAATTGAATGAACATACACATAGGAAGTTAAATTATTTTTTCAAATATTTGAAAAGAATTTTATTGACTAAGTATCCACCGAGGGTTCAAATCGGGTTAGAGTCGGGTTTGAGTCGGGTTAGAGTTCAGTTGCCTTGCGTTTCCATCAGATCAAAATTACGTTGGAGTTGCGGCAGGGTTGAACATTACCAACTGCACAAAGTCAACTACCATATTCTGACATGGAAAGGTTATATTATTAAAATGGATCGGAAAGCAATATTAATTTTACAATATCGAAATAACATACAAAAATTATTTTCGTATATTATTTTAATTATTACAACACGTGATACACAATGCAATTTGGATTTGTCATGTTAGCAACATGAACTCTTATGTTGGCAACACGAACTCGACTCTTGTCGTTTCCACCGAACCCAATTGAACGCTACCCTAAAATTTTATAGGGTAGAGTTCAACTAAAACTTTGGTGTTTCCACCGTAAAAGCGTTCACCTCAACCCGACTCTAACCCGATTTGAACCCTCGGTGGAAACTTAGTCTATGTGATAATTGAATGTTGACAAAAAATTTCAATTTTGCACAGATAAATTTATTTTTTAATGTAAAGCAGCATTGAGCAAATCGCTATAATGAGAACAGGTCCATATTCTTCTAGTATGCTTACTAGCGACACTTGCGGGCAATTGTGAAATTCCAGTATACTGGTTCTTATATTTTATAACAAATCCAGTGATTGGTTCTCCATCGAAACTCAACCGACAGGTTAAGAAAGCTGACCAATCATAGCAACTGTTATATGCGTGTAATCCCGTTAGAAGGTACAAAGGAATTGCAGCCATTTTACGTGGATATCCCATTCGGCGTAGCAGTAGTATCCGCGTGATTATCGCGAAAAGTCAAAATAATCGTAATTCGGGATATTCCAGTTTTTTCGAAATGCGTTAAAAAGGTAAATGTTAACTAGTGTTGTTTCTAGTGTCTTCAGTAAAACTTACTATAGATTGTGAATCCGTGATATCGAATGTCGTTTAAGTTAGCTTACGAGGCGTTAAAGAAATCCAGATGCGTGTTAACTAGTCGTGTGCGTTTAATATTTATACTAAACTTCTAGAACGTGCATGAATGTTGCGATAATAATGTAATAAAATTTTTAAAAAATACTGCCGTTAAAAAAAATGGAAAAAAATCAATATGTGTTCACAGCCTACTGAATTTTTGTAAAAGGTTTTCAGATAATATTACATAAATAGAAACAGAAATGTGTTAATTTTTGTTCAACTTGGGCTTTTAAGGTCATTGATCTGATTGATTTGTTACAATACCTAGTAGCGTTTGAAAGTTGTAAATGTGCTAAATATCATTTGTCCTATAGATTTTATGTTCAGTAAAAATGAGCTGCTGTAATCACAGAAAAGGAGTAATAGTGAATTAAGATCTTGCATCATTCATTTAATTGACAAACAAATGATTCATTTTTCTTGTATCAATATTTTATGTATTAGAATTTGTCAGAATTTTTTATCTGTATCACAATATCATATTTATGTAATATAAACAATAATGTTTATCTGATTATTTATTAAGTTTTTACAGTACTGATAATATGTAACTGCTTATCAATTTTGTATAACATGTACACTTAATTATATAAATTTTTAGTTAATTTAACGTTTATATTCTTTACAAATACCAATTTTCATAGTTATAACATCCAATTCAGGAAAAAGTGTGAATAATATTTTTTCATGTCTGAAGCGTCTAAAGTTATTAAAATAATAGTTTAAAATAGATGAATGAATTCTTGTTACTCAATTTAATATATTAATTTAATAAAATATCAATAAGAGATGCGTGTTTGTTTTATTGCCTTCCTAAAATGAAAGATGTATGTGTTTATTTAATGTCCGTTTTTTGTGTGTCACAGTGTAATTACCATTGTCAATTTGACGAAGACTTGTTGCATTTATCAAGCAGCAACTCAACAAGATGATGTCAACAAAATCTAAGGAGATAGCGGATGAGTATATCTCATCATTGTCTGATTTGACAATCAACAGCAAGCCCTTGATTAATATGCTTACGATGTTAGCAGAGGACAACATTGAACATGCTCCAGCAATTGTTCAAGCTGTTGAAAATCATCTACAAAAGGTTATTTATCTGTTATAGTTGTATGAAAATAATATAAACAGTTTTGTACATTATGAAATACAGTATTTGTGTTTACATTATTGGACACTCATTTAGTATTTTCCTTTTTTTATAATTCATAGGAACATTATATATATACGTACAAATGTTATCAGCTTTTTTATTTTTCAGAGAAGTAATGCTTTATCTGATATCCTTTCTATGCTTGCAATAGTATTATAAAAGATAGTTACTTATAAATATTCTTTTTATGTTATATTATTTTTTACACTTCTTTTATATTTTATATTTTTAATTTTCATATTAGATTTTCCATGTTTATATATAGTAGTATGAGATAATAACTTTAATATAATTTAGACTAAAATATAAACAAAATATGTTTTATTTCAATAGGTGAGAAGTGACATTAAATTACCCGTGCTTTATTTGATCGATTCAATTGTGAAGAATGTTAATGGAGCATATTTAAATCTCTTCACACAAAATATTGTTAATACATTTTGTGGAGTGTTTGAAAAGGTATGTTCCCTATCTATATATGTATAAAAATAATGCAAACATATTTATACATATATAAATTATATATATTCTTTAACATATTTTCTTTTGAATTAAAAATTGACTTACTTCATCACATAAGTTATAGTTGCATTTCATAGAAAGATACACATTACATATGTAAAGCTACTTTCTTGCTAGCAGTGCTATAAGATAATCATTCAATCAATATAAGGTTAATGCACTTTCATTCTCTTGTCTTCTATACATATACTGAATACATACTTTATTTTGTAAATGTAAATGATATGGATTTATGAAATATTAATTCCTATATAATTATATAGGTGGATGAAAATACAAGAGCTAGTATGTGGAAATTAAGACAAACGTGGAATGATGTATTTCCTGCAAAAAAATTATTTTCTTTGGATGTGCGGGTGCAAAGTATTGATCCTGCCTGGCCAATCACTGCCTCCCCTACTAGTGTTTCTTCGGGATCTATTCATGTTAATCCTCGCTTCTTTTCAATGGTGAGATTTATTGATTTGTATATATTGTATAATTATAGTATATTAATATAGTAATGTATTACTACATGTTTAATACATATTTGAATATGTACATTTTAATTATTTTCAGCCCCAACAATCTACACCATCTGTTGTATCACAACCAATTGTTGCACCAGTAAAACTACCACCAGGTGATCCTGTAACACCAACAGAAGCAGCAATGCGAGAACAATTATTAAAGAAACAACGGGAGCTAATAGAATTGCAAAAGAAAAAAATTGAATTAGAACTCCTTCAAGCTAAAGCTAATTTAGAGCAACAACAACGACAACTCGATAAACAAGCAGGAAATTTAAAAGCGGAATTGGTAAGTAAAAATAAGGTAAATGTTTAAATTGTGCATTTAATATGTATTGAAATTTTACTCATATGCATTTGAACACAGGTTACAGCTACAACCCATGTTACACCAACTACGGAAACTATTACTCCAGGAAAACCTGTTACATCTGCTGTACAAACTCAAGCATCAAAGCAAGTAGCAAAACAGGTAATTATTTAATGATAAACTTCCATATTTATCTTGGCAAATTAAATTAATATCTCCCTGTAGTGGTGCACATTTTTCTAATATTTACTTTTACGTTTTTAGTTTCCAGCTGCAACTGCTTCGCTTCTAAAAAATGCAGGAACGAATAATGGTCCTCGAATTACTCCAGCTAGTAGTATTGCAGTAGCCTCAGCTAAACCTGTATCTCGTGATCCAAGATTAAAAACTACTTCAACTCAAGATGTACCGGTTTCAAGCGCGGATCCTCGGCAGCGAATAAGTACACCATCTCAAAAGGATTCGCGGGGTGAAGGCCAAACGCAGTTAGCGGCAAATACAAACACTGTACTTTCAGATCAATTAAAACAGCAGTTACTTTCGAAACAGGCTGTAACTAGCACTATCAACAAGTCTCCGACAAATCTTGCCGGCTCCGATACTGCGACGATAAACGCTAGTAATAACAATAATGCTAATACGAACCTCAACAATAATAACAATAAAAATTTCAGTGGTAACGCAAATAAAGATGCTGTGTCGCATCGAACAAGTCAAAAGAAAGACCCTCGATTGTCTAGTAATAGTAGTGGTAACCTAAACAGTAATAGTTCTAAAGGTTCTCAAAGTTTGTCTGTGGGTAGTAATAGTTCTTTATCTGCGAGTAACAGAGGGGGTGGGAGTAATGATTCTAAGTCGAAAGATTCAAAGAGCACAAATTCACGGAGTTCTTCGTCTTCGTCAATCGATAAATCTTCCACTTCCTCAAAATCCTCGCATAGGAAGCTAGGTAACAAGTCGCGATCTAAACAACCTCAAACATCTCCGAGTAAGATACCAAAAATCGACAGAGATGCCAGTCCTGTTAGGTCCAAATCTCGTGAAAAGGACAGTGGAGACAGTTCACCATCCTTGCGTACCTCTCCCCAATCCTTTCAAACCTCTAAAAATCGAAAGAAGAATACGAAGTCCAGAAAACGTAGTCCAAGTCCTCCATATAGAATCCCTAGGCGTAACGATTCAAAATCCAATTCAAGTCTAAGCAGTTCTGGTGGTGTTACTGAGGAGGAGCAATCCGGTTCATTAATAGTTTCTCCTCCTCACCCACCTACATTTAAAGAAATCCGGCCGAATGCTAGACAGAGAAATTACGTAAGGCGAAACAAGGATGGCAGTCTTAGCCCCGAACGCTCTCCAGCAAATGCTGGAAACGTTCAAACTTCTGCAGAACCGACATTGGAATCGTCCAGCAAAGACGAAGATTTGAGGGCAACTCTACCTCTTCCGAGCGCGACTGCTTCAGTATCAGAGAAAAGTGAGTCAATATATAATGTTTTTAAACGTAAATATAAATCACTTACAGGCACGTATATCAAATATCTTACATTTTTTTAGCGGTGAGTTAACATATAATACTCATAGTTATAATATTTAGATTTCCATAATCATCTTGCTTCTATTAATACTAATTTTTAATCTTTAAGTATTTAAGTACAATGACGATTTCAGCCCCAATACCGTTTTAAGCTTTTGAGGGTGAAACAAATTATTTCTAAGTATATTCTTTGTTCTTCTTATCTTGAACAAAAAACTTTTTCATTTTCCAAGATCTAAAACTAGCATGCAAATGCGGATGCAAAGATCCTATGTATTGGTAAAACTAAATATACATATAATGCTTCCTGTTCCATACATGAGTTATTTCACTTTATTTCAACATTTTTTTCAGAAGAGGACTTAGATCTGCGTGTATTGCCACCGCCGGTTAATACCAATAAAAGACAAAGTTCTGAACACATGGAATCAGCTTCAGCTAAGAAAACGAAAGCTGAAAAGTTTGATGCGTATGTATTTTTATTATTCTTATGATTTTAACATCCATTTTTTTGTATGCAGCTAGCAACAATGTCTCGTTCTTTATAGATTGTTTGGAAACGAAGATGTTGACCTACGAACATTAACTCACCCTAAAGCTGGACGACCACCAACACCTCCTCCACCTGTAATATCTGGTGAAGATGGCAAAGATGGGTGGGCAAAACTGAAAACACCGTCAAAGAATGACAGAGAAAAACAAACTAATAATACTGACGATAAACGAGACAGTAGAGATCGTAATAGAGATAGATTGGGTAGGCTTAGGCTTTATAATAAACTTCCGGATGATCCTAAAGAAAGAAGAAGAACGCTATCGAATGAAGATCAAGATGGTAGATCAGGTCGTAGGGGTCGAGAAAATGATAAACCTGAAAAAAATGAAGATAGAAATATTGAAATAATAATGAAACAAGCGGCCGAACAATTAAATCAAGGATCTATCACAAAAACTCAATACAATACTCTTATCCAGGAGGTTTTGCATATGAGTGAAGATCGTAAATTGAGAGCTGCGCAAAGAAAAGAAAAAGAAGTAGGTTCTATCGTATGGGAAAAGGGTGTAAACTTAGATATAACTGGTCAAGCGGATCGTGCAACTACCTTTAGTCCTTCTAACGATAAAGAAATACTACGAAATAAAGATCACTCTATTCCAAGAAACCCGAATGGTCCTAGGTGGCAAAATCTACCATGGCAACAGCCAGGACCATGGGCTCATCCTCCAGGACCTCCATACGGTGGTCCACAGGGGCACTTTAACTCAGACTTTAGACCTGTTGGGCCGTGGCAAAATCCAAGACATTTTGGACCAATGCGCCCTGATTACCAATATCATGGTGGATTTAATCACACTATTGGCCCAAATCCTCGATTAGGACCTGGAATGATGGGTCCTAACGGGCCTCTTATGTCAAATCTTTTATCCAATGGCCCAATTGGGTCGATGGGTATGCCTAACCCAATATCACTATCGGCCATGAACGGACCTGGAATGTTAATGAACAATGGACCAATGACGAATCTTATATCAAATCCAAATATATCATCATTGAGTGCGACAAGAAATGTTTCACCGAATTCGTCATCGAAATACGATCTTGAAGAAAATGATCAAAATTACACGACGACAATGATGAAAAATCAAAATCCTCATAGTCGTGAATTACCACCCCCTGATCCCAAATTATTAGATGAAATTGCGAGGGATACTATGAAATCTATAAACATTGATAGTATACCTCGCGAAATTAGATATTACGGCCAAACTGGAGTAGTTTTTATGAATTGGGACGATCCAAGAGAAATTGGATTCCAAGATGGTATACGACGAATTTTAATCGATGACAAAGATACTATAACTTGCGCATTTAATGATCAATACAAAGAATTTATATACGAAGGTGAAGTTCATAGGTAAGTGAATGCTATATTATTGGATGTTTTATTAATATCTAAATTTTACTGTATCATTAAAATTGTTCAATATTTGTAGAATTAAATTAGGTGCTCCTACCAGAGAATTATATGTTGATGATCGATGGTATGAATGTTACTTCGGCGGTATGCCTGTAACGGTAGATCTTGGTGGTAAAAAAGTTAGCGTCAAGTTGGAAGGACCTCCGCCCCATGTTAAAATTGGTACTGTAAAGAGGACCGATTTGGTAGTTGCTAAAATTAATCTTATTATTAATGCTCGGAACATGGTTCCCGTATTTTTGGATGCAAAGCCACAAATGTAAGATATCATTTCACAAGAATTATATACAAAGTGATTTTTTAGTATATTATAATGATGTATTTTTACAGATTTGAGATTGAAGGAAAGCCCCATACACTTGAATTTATAGATTCATTACAAACAGTTCTTTTGAATGGTCGACCATTTAAAGTCGAATTTGGAGGATTGCCTAAGCCAATTATTGTTAGGGATAAAAAACATTTCATAAGATTCTCGGTATTACCGAGAGGTGTTCGTCCAGGGTACGTTAAGATTGCAGGTATGAAAGGTGAAGAACCTATCGAAGCACCGCCTACACCACCTTTGATGACGCAAAAGCCAAAAGTTGATACAACATCAGCACCGACACAATTCTCTTCTATCGAACCTGAGTCGACATCACAGGATGGTTCTGATCTCAGATCTACTCCCAAACCGGGTAAATATTGCATTTACAAAAATGTATTACGTAAAACATACGATATATTTGGACATATAGCCGATATAATCGTTTACGTAATATTTCATTAGACTTGTAGCGAAAATTTGCTTTGTTTCAGATTTACAATTAGATATGTTATCTTCGGTTTTACCATCTGCGATGGCACCAGCATCTGGATTATCTTACCAGGCTGAGCCAGTGGAAAATCCACCTACGACTGCACCAGCGTTATCATTACCTTTGAATATGAACGAGTTGTTCCAAAGATTAGTTGAAACTGGTATTGTACCGAATCTTTCTGAACCGAAAAAGCAGGAAGAGGAAGAAAAGAAAGAACCAGAAATTATTCCTGTTTCGTTCGATAAGCCAGAAACGCTTAAAGTGTAAGTTTCCCATTAAATTAATTTTTGTATATAATTAATGTTTAATTTATGTTAATTTCTTACATGAAATGTTCTTTTCCACAGTAAACAACCAGCTATTGCAGCAGCATTGTATAGTGGTATGCAGTGTAGTTCTTGTGGTGCTAGATTCGCGCCTGAACTAGCAACGCGGTACAGCCACCATTTGGATTGGCATTTTAGACAAAATAGAAGAGAAAGAGATTCTGCGAGAAAAGCTCATTCGCGACCTTGGTATTATGATGTTAGCGATTGGATACAGTTCGAAGAAATTGAAGATTTGGAAGATAGAGGTACATATTTCATTTTAATAAAAAAATTTGTATCAAATTTTTATTGAAACAAATTTTTTTTTTTTGTCATAGCACAAAGCTGGTTTGAAACTGAAAAGCAAACCGCGGATACAGAAGGTATTGCTGCGGAAGATTCTCCTCAAGAAACGTTGCAACCTAGTGTTCCTACTGGATCCGACGAGGATTCCAGATGCCAAGTTTGTCACGATGCATTTGAACAGTTTTATAATGAAGAAAAGGAAGAGTGGCATTTAAGACCTGCAATTAATTTTGAAGGAAAAAATTACCATCCATTGTGTCTTGATGATTACAAGGTTAGTTTAATTTTGATGTCCGTCCTATTTATATTCAAGTTTTCTGTCAGATATTCGACGAATATCGATGTGTTTATTAATAAATTTTGTATTTGTTGCATTCTTACAAAAATAGGAAAAGATGTGTCTTGTGGTATGTGCTTCTTAATAATTAATAGTCATATTGCACTTACAGAAAGTCTTTCCACCTACAAATATAGTACAAATAATTAGATACTACAGAACGTAATTAAATGCCGCGTCATATTTTTATTTTATTTATTTATTTATTTATTTATTCTTTATTTTTAAATATCTTTTGTGTATATGATTTCCTGCCATGTATTGATTTCAAGTATTTGTAGACAAGTAGTTAACGAAGGTAATAATAATTTGGATCCATCAAGGTCATTATAAACTTAATGATTTATGGTACAAATAATATAAATTACACCTACAACTTATATGTTTGCATAAAATGTTGTTGCACGTTTACAGTTGTCACATTTTATTTCGTTTCTATGTCATCGAGATCAAAAATGTAACAATACTTTACTTTTCTTTACACTATTAGAGAGCTTTGGAAAAATCTGCGTTAGCACTTGAAGAAACAATTGAGGAGATGGAGGACGAAAAGAAGGAAAATCCCGATGAAACATTTGCAGAGGGAAACAAGACTGACGAATTAAGCGTGGAAGCTAAATTCGAAACAGTAGAGCCATCGGATGAAATAATAGAAGAAGATGTACAACAAAAAGAGCCTGAAACAGAGAATAAAGAAGAACCTATGGTTACAGATAATTTAGATTCCGAACAAGTTGAAAAAACGGAAGGACAAGAATTTGAATCTAGTGAGAAGGATATTGCTGAACAAGTAGAAAAGGATGTTGCATCCGTGACAAACGAAATGGATGCATCTGAAACAGAAAATGTAGACAAATCTTTTGAAAATATCAAAATTAAAGAAGAACCGATTGATGAACCTGAAGAGCAGCTAGAAGAACACTTTGATTTTACTGGTGTTGAAGTTAAGGATGAACCTATTGATCCTGAACCAGGTACGTGTTGTACTTACATGATATATACTTACATTGTAACTAAATATGTAATTATACATACTAATTTCATTAATGTTTATACAATAATTTTACAAATAGAACCGGAAGAAACCATATTAACTGAGCCTGCAACGGTAGACACAACCCATGCGGCTGTAAAAAGTTCTATCGATGGAAATGTGGAATTGGATTCTACACCTGCGGCAATTCCAGCAGCGCCGTCCCGAATTAAAATTAACATTACGAAACCATTGTGTGTCAATAAAGAACCGGAAGAATCTAAGGAAAAGGAAAAACATGTTGTTGAAACACCTACTGAAGAAATAATAGAACCTTTGGTGCCTGCCTCTATTAAACCTGCATTGCAAGGTAGAAAACTTTCTGTTTTACCTCCTGTGGAAAGAGGGAAAGAGCTATCTGGACTCTGCTCGATTATGTAAATAGTGTATGTAATGTATTTGAAGTATACGTATGCTTGCACGTGTGTAAAAGTGAAAATTTGTGTGATTCGAATGTATTTTATGTTTAGCGCTACTTAAAATTAAGTATCGATACATTGTACATCACATTTGTGCAACTTATACGACTTGATACGATACGATTGCAAACTTCGTCTTTTCTTTTTATGTATGATTCATTTTTTCTTACTTTTTTTTTCTATTTCGTATGTTGGATTTTATCTACCTATACGTCGTTAATCCATTAATGTGGTAATATATTAATCTTTTTAACAAGCATCGTTCTTTTGTTCAAATATCATGTCGTATAAGTTAATGCGTGTGCTGTAATGTGTGAGAGTATTAGCGTATGCGTGTATTTAGTTTTTAAATCTTAATTAAGCTAAAAAGAGAACAAGAACTGTATATATTTAATGTAATCGAAACGGTTTAATTAGAATGAGGTATGGTATAGTAGCATTCCCAACAATATTGAGTGCAATTACATTTCGTGACAGAAAAATTGTCAGAAATGTACACTGATATGCACAGGACTCATCGAGAATTTCATACCGTTTGTACTTTGTAAAAATATTCAAAAGTTATACGACATTGTTTTCTAGAAGCGTCAGCTCCATTATGACTTTACAAAGCACGAAAATAAGGTCCCATGAGAAATAATGAAAAATTACCCAATTCAGTTAGGTGTACAAATTGTGTGATATAATATTGTTGACTATAATGTATATAATACCAACATTAAAATAATCCCGACGATATTGGGTAAGGAAAAAAAAAGTTACTACTAGAGGAGGATTATTTTGTTGTATAAAAAAATCTTGTTAATTATTTGGGGGTCTGATTTTCTTTGATTGCTTATTTATGATCCTAAATTTACCTTTCTAAAATATCCTTTATGACACTCATGAATACTGACAAACTTGAAATTAAAATTTTTAATCATACAAATATTTCAACAAATAAAAACGTATTAATAAGAAAGTTATTCTTTAGTTAAAATTTGTTTCGGTATTCAATAAAACTTATTTTTAGAAAAAAAGGTTTATCTAAGTTAATGTTCACTCCTTGTTCTTCATATAAAAGAACTTTGTAGTATTGAAAGTTAATAAAATAAATTTAATAATCACCTTTGCTTGTATTTTATAATACCTTAATCATTCTATTACTTTAATACTAATAATGTATAAGTGTAGTCATCATGTATACAATAAAACACTTATGTACAAAATTTGTATTAATTATCTTGCACACACGTTCTATTCCTTGCCTAGAATAATTGTTTTTATCAAATGTTTTAATAAGAAATAATATAGTTTTGTGTGGGGAAATCAGGTACACAACAGTCTTCAAAACTTTATTCATAAACTGCAATTATGAGGCCACCTTGGGAAAGGAAGAGTATCTTTGATATTTGGGATATTAAACAGGCATTGTAAAAATCTTTCAAACCCCATTCCAAAACCTCCTGTGGGAACATTGCCATATTTACGAAGTTCTAAATACCAAGTAAGATTAGATGTTAAAGGTAATTTTGATTGTAATTTTTCATAATCATCTTCACGCAAACTGCCTCCTACTAATTCTCCTACATTAGGTACTAAGAGATCCATTGCAGCAACCTTTAGAGAAAAAGTAACATATATACCCTTACAATGTTTATCACTTTAAAAAGTTATATCTATCATTCTAGAAATTTGTTACCTTTGAAGCATCATTTTCACACTCTTTCATATAAAAAGGTTTACTTTCTTTTGGCCAATTTACAATAAATATAGGAATATTGTTATTATGTTCTATTAAAAATAATTCATGCTCCTTAGAAAAGGTTCCAGATATGTTGGACTCTTGAAAACTTTTTAAGTTAGCTTTTAAAATATCAACTGCTTCATCATATGTCATACGTGTAAAGGTTTTGTTCAACCACTGTATTTCCTGACACTGCATTTCATGCATGTCAGAAGCACCTTTTTCAAGTATATCTTTAGTTACATTTTTAATCAATAGTTCAACTTCATCCATTAAAATATCTATACTATTAATAAATGCTAATTCAACTTCTAACATACGAAATTCAGATAAATGTAATCTTGATTTAGAGTTTTCAGCTCTAAATGTTGGTCCAAAGGTGTAGACCTTTGTAAGTGCTCTGAAAAGTTTTGGAGTTCATGTATAACTTAATAATTTGGCAATATTTGACTAATTATTATTTTTAAAATTAGGTACCTCACAACAGCTTCTAGATGTAATTGGCCAGAAACTGTTAAAAATGTTTTAGCATTGAAATAGGTTTCTTCTTCTGAAACATCTTTTGTTTGCATTGCTTTTAATATGTCTTTAGAAGATGGTTTTACTAAAAACAATTCACCAGCACCTTCACAATCATTTGAAGTTAAAATAGGTGTATGCACATTAATAAAACCTTTACTTCTTAAATGATTATCAATAGATGCAGATGCTATATCACGCAACCTTAGCAAACATGAAAATGTTTTAGTTCTTGGTCTTAAATGCAAATACCTTCTAACATATTCCTCAGAATATGTTTTTCTTGGAGCAAAAGGATATCCATCCATTACATCACATGTACCGATTACAACAAGATTGTCTGCATGTAATTCAATCCTACCATTAGGAGCTAAAGCTAACTTGCCTTCTGCCGTGATACTACTTCCATAACTTAACTTATCAGATTCAATGTTTTTGGGCACAACAACTTGAAACAATTTAGGAGTTGATCCATCCGCAACATCGATAAAAATATTGTTTTTCATCTTCCTGATTGCATGAACCCATCCCTATATTTTCAAAATATTTCGACTAATATCACGGATAATTAGATGTAAAACAATACAAAAATAAAAATTTCACGCATTCGGTGTAAAGATTTTGGTAAAATGTAAGATTTAAACGAATAACGCATTTAAAAAAATAATATAATACGAGCTAACCTGTACTTTAACAAGTTTCCCAGCATTACTTTCTAAATCAGTATCATGTATCCGTAACATACTATGTACATGGCACTTAGGAAAGTGAAAATATGCGGGAAACAAACTTCTACTGAATCTCGAAAATATTTTAAGAGACATTTTCTCACAAGTTATTAAAATTTCCTCATACGCATTACACAAGTGAAGGCGATTGAAATGGTGCACATCTGGTTACCCTGCAAGTAGTGACAGTCAAGAAGAATTTCCACCACCCACTACTGCACCAGTCGTTAGGATGCATTATGCCTAATTCACAGGAACACTAAAAAATTTTCTCAAATAAATACAACTTTTAAAAACAAGCTTGTTTATTTTATAAACAATGATTTTCTTACACTTTGTAGATTTAGATGACTATTGAACTTAAAGTATACGTGTGTTTAATCCATGCGCGTTTAATGCACGATTGCTGAAAGCCCGAATGGTGCATTTAACAGTCTTCCTTCCTGAAAAGAAATATTATAACAAAAGAAATGTTTAACAATAGTAAATAAAGTTATAACTTAAATGCTAATCGTAGCTATTAGCTCGATATCATTTTCTAAAAATTTTTTAAGAAATCTTCAGAAAACAATATCGATTACCAGGTCACACCACGTGGAGGTTGCTACGACAGTGACCCACCCTAACTCCAAATCCCTACCACCCTCCAATTGCAATACCTCATTTATCGGAAGGATAAATGAGTTTTGACTCTACTTAGCCCGTTGGCTCGCAAAAATATACAAGTTCTGTACTATAGTATAGCAAAGAACTTGTATCGCACGCACACACGCGTTACATCTTAAAATTTAATACGCTCATGGGAGCCCCCACTCACACTCATACTAAACGCACGCGTACCTCTCATTCTAAGATTGCACTCATATAATCTATAACGCCGTAAAAAAGCAAAGGAGAAGAAAAGAAAGTTAGAAGAACTTTCTACTAGAAGCTAAGAAAGTTAGAAGAACTTTCTATTAAAAAGAAAAGAAAGTTAGAAGAACTTTCTGTCAAAAAAGGGGATCAGTCTTTTTCGCCAAGTGAACCTCGCCTTCCATGGGTCAAAGGGTAGTCCATAGTGGCTTACGTGAACCACGAGACAGAGATGAACCGAAAATACTGGCAAGAAC